AACCCCTAGCCCCTAAACCCCTAAAACCAGTGAAAGTGTCTCCACATGCATAAACTCCTTGGCCCATTCTTTGAATGGGTCCCCGTCGTGGGAGTCGGTGCCTTCGATGGCAGCAGAAGGCTGAGTTTTGCCATACAAAAGGGGTTTAGGGGTTTAGGGTTTAGGGTTTAGGGGTTTAGGGGCTTAGGGTTTAGGGTTTGGGGTTTGGGATTTAGGGTTTAGGGTTTGGGGTTTAGGGGGCTTGGGATTTAGGGATCTATACAAGTGTTAAACTAAAAGGGCACCATAAGGGAACCATGAAGAAGGGCACTGCCAAGGCACTATCAGCCTTAAGAGCAGCAACTGTCGAGTACCCTAATACCCTAAATCCTAAACCCTAGGCCCTAGACCCTAAACCCTAAACCCTAGACCCTAAACCCTAGACCCTAAATCCTAAATCCTAAACCCTAAACTCGAACCCTAAACCCTGGACCCCAAACCCTAAACCCTAAACATTCTAACCCTAAGCCCTAACCAGAGCATAGGGGGAGAGACGGCCTTTGCAGGGACCTTAAGGGATCAGGGCGTGCAAGGCTTCTATGGCTGTGGGTTTCGGGCTTTGGGCTTCGGGCTTAGGGTTTAGGGTTTGGGGGTTTAGGTTTTAGGGTTTAGGGTTTAGGGTTTAGGGGTTTGGGTTTAGGGTTTAGCGGTTTAGGGGTAGATAGGGGATGCGGGTGCTAAACCCTGAACCTTAATTTCTAAACCCTTATTCCGAAAAGCCCACATTCCCAAAACACCGACATACTAAAACTCGTATTCCTGACACCCTATACACCTTAAGTCCTCAACCCTCAACCTTTAAACCCTTAACCTTTGAACCCTGAACCTGGCTTCAAGAAGGCCTGCTATTTCAGACCTCAACCAGAGATAGCCAGAGCCTCGATTGCCAGACGGAAAAGCCCCAAGTTGCCGAAACCCCTTGAGAACAAGCCTAGGGCTAGGGTTTCGGGTTTAGGGTTTCGGGCTCAGGGGTTGGGGCTTTTTCATTCAAGTTCGAGTTTCGCGGAACAGCATGCCTGCATATGACAATGACCCTTTCCCCTACACATTGACGCCCGACGAAGTCCCACAGGGACTAAACAAACCCTCAGACTACTGCCTGCATCGCACAATCTCGAACCCCATACCCGAAAACCCTAAACCCTAATAGACCCAGTGTGAGCGCCGAAACCCTAATCCCCAGCCCCGAAACCCCTAAGCCTAATCCCCAGCCCCTCAACCCCTAAACCCTCCGAGTGTGAGCGCCGACACCCAAATCACCAAAACCCCTAAACCCCAAAACACACTAAACCCTAAACCCTAAACCCTAAACCCTAAACCCTAAACCCTAAACCCTAAACCCTAAACCCTAAACCCTAAACCCCAAAACACCCTAAACCTGGAAGCCTGAAGTCTGCAGTCCTCAGACAAGATGCTCTGTTGGAGGCCTTCCTGGCGTAAGGAGACTCTGTGGGCTTAAGGTTTAGGGTTTAGGGTTTAGGGTTTAGGGTTTAGGGTTTAGGGTTTAGGGGGTTTAAGGGTGTTGGGATGTAGGGCTGGGGGTTTACGTTTTTTGCTTTTAAGGGGTTTGGGGCTTAGGGTTAAGGGGTTTAGGGGGCTTAAGTTTGGGGTGTAGGGTTTGGGGCTTAGAGTTAAGGGGTTTAGGGGGTTTAGGCTTTGTTTTTGAGGGGTTTGGGGCTTAGGGTTTAGGGGGTTTCTTTTTTTTTGTAAGGGGTTTGGGGTGTAGGGTTTGAGGCTTAGGGTTTAGGGATTGGGGTTGGGATCAGGGTGCAAGGTTCAAGGTTCGGGTTTAGGGCTGGGGTGCCGGCGTTTCTTTTTGGCGGGCTTCCGTTGTGCCCTTTCCCCCGCAAACCCTAAGCCCCTACGTAACCCTTGAGGACTCCGATCAGACGCGGGACTCTATGCTGGCACATGCAACTGTCTGGATGCACGTGTAGATGCAAATATGCATCCATACACGAGTACATCTTCTGCTCACCCCACACACACACACGCACAAACACGTATGCCACACATGTAACATCCCATCCTGACGAGATCCTGACATGCAGTTTAATCATGGTTGCTACATGTGCCACAGCCAAGCTGGCAAATCAGCACGGCAGCTCAGATCTCTCAGACCGTCGTGTTGGGACGTTGTGAGCATGTGCTCACTTTGGACGGACTGCTCTGAAAGGACGTGTTGCCAAGCGACGGCTGTTCAAGCGCCGCAACACCCACCACAATGGCCAAGGGCAAGCTCTTGTACCACAAAACAACGCAAACCACCTTTCAGGACTTCCAAACAAAGCCCGTCTACAACTGAAAAGCAGATCCGAAGACGAAGCTTTCTGCAACCTTTGGAGCAACATCAAACCATCGTAGGACTTTAAAACCCTAGTAAGTTCGACAGTAACCCTTACGGTACATAGGCCTTTGTAGAAAACCCCTGGCTAAAACCCTCAAACCCTGACTCTCTGGGCTGCCCCTGCCTGCAGGTTCGCCTTCTTCTTCCGTCTTCGAGGTCTGGGAGGAAGGGCGTCAGGATTGAGTACCCTAAACCCTAAACCCTAGGGAACCCTAAACCCCTAAACCCTACTTAAGTACCCTAAACCCTAAACCCTAAACCCTAAACCCCTAAATCCCTAAACCCCTAATCCCCTAAACCCTACTTAAGTACCCTAAGCCCTAAACCCTAAACTCTAGGGAACCCTAAACCCCACCAAGGGTTCCTGGGGATTCAAAGACCCTACCGTTTTAAGGGGTTCTACCGTTGAGCCAAAAGTGTCATAACCTCCTCTTTTGTAGGGTTTGGGGTCACATGTTGAGGTTTCCGAAAATAGAGGACCCTCATGTAGTACCCTAAATAGTAGGATTCCTGATTATAAGGACTCCCCCAAAAGTAAGAACCCTAAACCCTAAACCCTAAACCCTAAACCCTAAACCCTAAGGTACCCCTTGTTTTCAGAGACTCCGAATGTTGGGGTTAGGGACTTCAGACTTCGGGCTGAAAAGTCGAGGGTTTCAGGCTGAGGGCTTCAGTAAATAGCGTTCTCTCTAGACTTTTTTGTAAGTTAATCCCAATTCGGGGGTTTAGGGTTTAGGGTTTAGGGTTTAGGGTTTAGGGTCTAGACTTTTTTGTAAGTTAATCCCAATTCGGACTAGGATCCCTTTTAGGATTTAGGGTTTAGGGTTTAGGGGGTACTTATGAGTCTACTTGCTACCTACTTACAAACATGAGAAACTGACAAATGCATGCCGCGTTGGCCATGCACCCTCCAGCGCTGCTTCGCCAGCGGGCTGTTGCTAAGCGTTTTGCTGCACATTTCGGAGCGCTATAGCAAACGCTATACGGGGGCAAGGAACACACGCACCCGGCGGGCAGAGGCAGCCAAGCGCGGAGGCAGGGCCGGGCCAACAGCGGCCACGAGTGCGGAGCAAAGTAGTGCAGCAAAACAACAGAGGAGCCGGGCGAGAAGAGGCGGGCAGAGAGCGGTGAGGCCAAGCATGGAGATCATCCAGCAGCCAGAAAAAGACAGTCCTCTACCCGCCTGCTTTGAAGCTTCCTTGTAAAGACAACATGGAACCACGAACTCGCATCTTAAGAGGGAAGCCCTGAAGCTCTTACTCCTCCATACCGAAACGGTCTAGACACCGCAAGACCCTAAAGACTCGAACTCAAGATCCGGCAAAGTCTAAATCTCTAGGGTTTAGGGTTTAGGGTTTAGGGTTTAGGGTTTAGGGTTTAGGGTTTAGGGTTTAGGGTACATCCTAGGCCCTAAGACTCCAAACCACCAAACCCTAAAACCCTTAAGCATGAACCCCTAACCCTAAACCCTCAAGCCCTTTAAACCGATACAGCCCAGGAGTTCCAAGTCCTGAACCCTAAGCCTCTGGAAAGGAGCCCTTTACAACGACTTAAACCCAATAAACCCTAAATCTTACTTGAGCCCTAACCCTTTGAAAAGCAGCCGGTCATGAAACAACCTTAAACCCTATAAACCTTAGACCCTGAACCGCAAACCCTAAACCTTTTCACCCTAAACCCTAAGCCCTAAACCCTAAAGCTCTAAACCTTAGACGCGAAACCCTGAAGCTCTAAACCTTAGGCCCTAAACCCTAAAACCCTAAAGCTCTAGTTCCTGAGCCCTAAACCCTAAACCCTAGACCCCAAGCCCTAAACCTTAGACCCTAAAGCCCTAAGCTCTAGACCCTAAAACCCTAAACCTTAGACCCTAGAGCCCTAAACCTTAGACCCTAAAACCCTAAGCTCTAGTTCCTGAGCTCTAGATGGGGGTTTCCGAAAATAGGGGACCCTAATGTAGCACCCTAAATAGTAAAATAGTAGGATCCTTATAATAAGGACCCCCCAAATAAGGTACCCCCCCCTCTATTTTCGGAAACTCCCCTAAACCCAAAACCCTAAACCCTATAAATCGCCTCCAGGCCGACCGGCTCTCCCCTGTGGCTTCGTGGAAGCTGTTTGGCAGCGAGCGGTAGAAGACGTCCTCAGTTTAGGGCTTAAGGTTGAGGTTTAGGGCGTAAGGTTGAGGTTTAGGGTTTAAGGTTGAGGTTTAGGGTTTTAGGTTGAGGTTTAGGGCTTAAGGTTGAGGTTTAGGGTTTAAGGTTGAGGTTTCTGGTTTAGGGTTGAGGTTTAGGGTTGGAGGTTTACTCTCTAAGCACTAAGGCTCACAATGGACATCTACAAAAAAGTTCGCTATGGTAATTTGAGGTAGGGTTTGAGGTTTCGGATTTTGCGGGGCGACTAAAGGCAGAGCGCCCAGTGTCCCGTAACTAGGGAGGATACCTCAAACCACAACCGCAGCCCACCACAGACCAACACGATGCTATTGGTATCGCTTGAAAGTTGATACCACCTGGATCCCAAACTTATTCCTATCATCTTAGAACCCTTCAAGGTGTACGGGGGTTGAGGATGGCCCTGGGTGCATTGTGCGGTTGAGTTTCCCGTCGTAGAGTGTTGTAGGTTTTGTGTAAGGGTCTGTCTGTGTGTGTGTGTGTGTGGGTCTATGATGTGGCCTAGAGCAGGTTGTCTCGTTGGTTGGGCTTCTTCCGGGTGTAGCCTGGGTTCTTGTTGTAGGATCTCAGTTCGGGATTAGGGTTTAGGTTTCGGCGTTCGAAACATGGACGTGGCCATCGGTAACTCATACAGAGGCGTCCAGAATTGGATCAAGGTCTTTTTCTCATATCATTGTTTCTGTAGAGGTTCCCAAAACCCTTAGATTTGAAAGAACCGGTTGAATTTCCCTAGCAGTTTCAATAATTAGGAGCTTATCGTACGCGTGTATAGAGGCCATAAGAGACCCCAGCCTGGACCCGTCCCTCCTCCGAAGCCAAAACCCGACAAAGCACGCCGCAGCTGCGAAATCAGAGAACCGAATACCCCTTAATTAAGGAATATACCTTAAACTATAGGGTCCTTCATAGTATGATTTAGGGTAAATGCCTTAATTAGGGGTATTGGGTTCTCGGGGAAATCCCCCTTAGGTTATAAAACCTAAACCCCGCACTCCCAGCATCTACAGGTTCCTGAGAGTACGGAAAAACCGGAGTCATTCGTAGACTTCGATGACATTAAGTAAGCTGTTTAACTGAAATTAAATAGGCACACTAAACCCCAAAACCCTACCAGGACCCCCCAACTGCCCTTTAATAGAGCCCTTATGGTCCTGAATAGTGGGTATTTAGGATATATTAGAGGGTTGTTGGGGGTCTATGGTAGACACGAAACCCTTGCTAAACCCGTCTGATTGGGTGTCGAGAAAGGAAACGAAATCTGCCCTTTTGCCACAGCTTCAGCGCCCGGTCCTACAAACCTAGAGGCCAAAACCCCGATAGAGCACTAAAGTCAAAAACACTACGGTTTGGGGTTAGAAAAGGGACCTGAATAATTAGAAAAGGGTTCGGGGATGTGTTTTACTAGAGTTATTATAAAGACCCCCCCCCAAAACACTATTCTAATTAGTAAGGCCCCTACAGTAGGCTCAGGAAGACCGGAGCAACTC